TTATTAGTACATACACATTTGTTTCCATTTAGAAGAGCATAGTGTTGGTGATATTTATCACATATTTCTAAACAACGCCGTGGATGAATATCAGATGTAGACTTGAAGTTGAATTGATACATAGTCGATGGATTCACAGAAGATAAATAGACGCAACTGTCATAACTGAAATCAGGATTTTGTCTATCGGATTCAGTTAAGTATGATGTATATGATAATATAGGACGAGTAACATTGTAAACAACGATTATGTCTTTATCACCACACTGTTCATGTTTATTTCCTAAAATTGCAAATAAAAAATTGAAAGAATAACATCAAAATTGATCGAAAAAGACATACCCGGGCAAGGATTTCCACAATGTACTTTTTCATAGTTGGCATTATTTCGTATAGTCTCATTAAGCCATGTAGTACCATGATTTAAACAATAACATCTATTCATTTGAAGAATAGCTAACTTTGTTTTTAATTTTTGACAAATAGATAAACATAATTTATATGTTAAATGATTTGATATTACAGCTGGTAAACCAAGCGCTAATGGTTTTGGAAAGCAACCAAATAGAGAATTACTTCCCCTTATTGGTTTCATTGCACATAATACATGTCTTGACTTCGAGCAATTATCGATTGATGTACTTGTTACAATAGAATTATCGATCACTGAACGTGTAAAAACTAAACAAGAATCGTTCTTGCCAGTTGAATTATCAACATTAGCTATTTGGAATTCAGTTATAAAGGAACGAGCATTATTAACATTGGACATCGGCGATTGTATACTTTTATTTGTTAGTGAATTACTTGATATATCTAAGAGATAATCAATAGTATGTTTATTTACATCATCCTCGTGTTTTATAAAAAAATGATAGTTGTTAGATTAAGACTGGTTTTTTTTCTTTTCTTTCGGGTTAAAATACATGGTTCTCTTCTCTTTCAGTTTAATCGATGTTGCATAGATAATAAAGAATACGAGGAAAATTGACTGACTCTCTCGAACAAAGAAAACGGTTTCATTTTTCATTTTGTGTCTTCACTATCTAATATATTTTATTAAAAAAGCAAAATGTATCATAAAGGGTGTGGGTCCTAAGTCAATACAGTATTCACACCCACCTTCGAGATAAACTTATAGAGAACTCATGAAAACTATAACATTTTTTGCTCGAATAAAGTTCTATTTCAAGCAAATCCTTATTGAATTGAATACTTTACTTGTGTCAAGTAGGAAAAAGCCAAGACGACCTTGCCATTGTGATGAGTATTGAGCGACTTCGCCTCTATGTAATTCTTTGGTAAAATTGTTGGTTTTATCATTTTCTTCTGTCGCCATGTGATAAGCATCACGATAACCGTCACTGTATTCATCATCGTCAATAGATACTGTAATGTCGCCATATTCTTCATTTAGTTCAGATTGAGCTACAGCAATACAACTGTATTTTGCTTCTTGTATTGTTTTACTTGTATCCGATATTCGATAACAGTACTTATTTAAATCAAGCCAGTTCATTGGACAATCAGAAGACATTTGATTTATAGAATTTTTATAATTGGATAAACGGCTACCGTATATAGATGATGAATCATCACTTTTTGAATAACTTACACATAATTGATTTAATGATAGATATTGAGACGCTGTATATCTTTGTGAACGTAAACAGCCATTGCTTATTGTATAAGCTTGATAACCTGAATAAGAACTAAAGCTAGAAAATCCCGAATAATAACTGCTTGAAATTTCCGTTGAACATTTCCATTTAGAGTCAATAATATCATCATCATCAAAATCTATTCTAACATTCGCTTTTGTTAAGTTAAACTTATCGATAATTTTCAAAAAGTCATTCCATTTTATTTTTCCATCATAAGCATATTTTACCGTTGAAGATGGGCATGAATACGAGATGGTACCTTTCGAATACATGCATTCCTTTAATTCTTTTACATAAACAGAATGAGGTGGACATGTATCACCTAAATCATATACAGTCCATATTCGAGTATCATTTTTTGAGCCACATTTAAATCTATGTTCCATGTTTGAGTCACCAAATGTATTATCACAATAATGATCACATGTATTATTTGATAAAATTATTAAATTAAGTGTACTACTAGAACTCACGCTTAAATCCTGTTGCATTATGCATGAACATTGACTACTATCGCTGTTGAAAGCTAAAAGAAAAGTTTAATTTTTTTTATAAGGGTGTGGGTGTGGGTGTTATGCTTGTCTCGCGTCAACTCACACCCGCACCTTCAAGATGTTAATTTACCTATGGCTTTTGTCGTCATATTCTGATCAATACATGCAGCCGCACATCGTTCTAATGTATTCAATGCTAGTTTTTCAGATATGTCAATTTTAACTTGTAATCTATTCATATCAGTAGAACTATTCCAAAATTCGCATGATCTAAGTTGAATTCGATAATCAAGTAAATGGGCGTGTTTGGTATAAAATTGATTTTCAGCATAAGCTGAATAACTTTCTGATCCACCACATGTATTGCTTGTTTTGACTGTACGGGAACCTGACTTTGGACAGCGTATTGAACAATGTGTGTCTTTCCGTCGACTATAATCCATAAGACCACTCCATGAACATCGACATATTGAACTCTGTATATAGATTATTGGTGTTTCACATAAACTGAAACATAATGTTGGTTCCATATAGGAACTTTCAAAATAACTATCATAAAATGCTTCTTGATAGCAGCCAATATAATGATATGAACCATATACAGAATGTACTAGAAGAACTATGATCAAAGAAGACAGTACTCTTGAATGAAGCATACTGTGTACAAAGTATGTAAGTAAACAAATGATGAAGAAAATTGAAAACGATTTTAATCTAGAGAGGAAGAGGAGAAATGTGAGATTTTTGTAAGTGATTTAAAATCAAGATAGTGATAATAAGAAAATGCGAGAACGACGACCTTTTCTTTTATGCTATCGATATTTAATAGCGAAGTCATGAGTGTTATTTTTCTATCATGTGGTAGCTGTAATTGGAAGACAATTTTTTTTATCTTGTTTTATTTATTGAATAAAATTGTATTGTTTTCGACACCAATAGAAGGAATTTTCCCGATGAGAATCTAAAGTCTGAAGTACAATGGTTATATAATCAAGGGTGAGGATGATTCTGTTTCCCTCACTCTCACCTTGATTCGCTCGCATTCTCACAAAAAGCACAAGCGTATCTCGATAAAATGATGCTAAAACAAGAAAAAGTTCTCTTAGGGCAAATACGTTATTTTTTTGTCAGTTGAACAATCTATTTCAAAATATCTTAATCTGTTTTTTATTTGTAATTATTCATGATGCCAAAATTCAATATACGTTGATGTGCTCTACAAACTGAACATATTTAAATTCGAGAAATATGCCCTTCAAATTTCGCCACGCTGTATTACACACATATATTGATATATGAATGCGTTAATTATTTTATTTTTATTCTTAGATGTTGTATCATCTTGAGGATCAGTGTTCGTTTAGATATTATATACATCTCACACATACACTCACCAACCTTTCATAATATATGCCTAGGAACTGGTTTTAACTCTTTGATCGTTCAACCGAAAGTCTGATCGGAATAAGTAGAATTATGTCATAATTTTCTTATGTACATAATACGATGAGCTATGTCAATTGGAAGATAGATTGAACAATTATTACTGATAGTCATATAATTTCATTGAAAGAAAAAAAAATAAAAGTGTTTGGCTTTCGCCTCATTACAGTTCATTTTGAAGCATGAATAGAAAGGCAATGTTAAAAAGAGTGTATTTTCGATGCCCACGAATTTATACTAGTGGGTAGCTAGCCATAGTGGCGATACCGCATTGGTTTTGATAGTTGCGCATCATTTTAAGGTAACCAGCATCGCCCCATCCTTCACTCCATGAGTTTTTGACAATGTAATAGTCTGTTGGATGTTTTCCACCATCATTACCATAGCCAACAGCCAATACACCGTGATCGAGAGCATCTGGTGATGATGAGCAGGCTGGTTCATTATAAATACCACCACCGTAGAATTGAAATGAGTCGTGCGAAGCATCGATGGCGACTGCGATGGGACCAATTGTGGCAAGTGCAAGTGTTAAATCAGTTTCATTCTGTTCTTTGATATAAATGTAGCCCTGTGAAAATCGATAATGAAATTAGATCGTTTATTTTTCGATAAATACTACTCACAACATCGGTAGCACCAACGCTCTCTGGTTTGAAACGGCATTTTCCATCAGAAGCTGTATATGGGTAGCTTTTTTCGGTATCAATTCCATTGTTTTGTTTGATATATTCGAAGGCATTGTTCATAAGACCACCACCACAGCCTTGGTTTCCGAATTTGGTTGAACAGTCGACCAATTGTTGTTCAGAAAGAGAAACAAGTTGTTTGGTTGAGGCAAAGTGTTGTCCTTCGAGTGAGCCAGTAGCTGAGAAAGCCCAACATGAACCGCATTGTCCTTGATCTTTTACTGGAGTGACATAACCTTCTTTGCGCCAATCTATAGATCGTCAATTTGTTTTTATTGAAAGTACAATCGTTAAATGAGTACAACTTACCAATTGTATCTGGAATAGCGACATTGGAAGGTGCTAAAAATATGTGTCGATCGTTTTTGCTGCTATCAACATTAGCATTCACTTTAAATCCGTTCATACTTTTCTTGAATTCTTCGTGAGTCTACAGGCAAAAGAAAACAATCTTTGTCTGACAATTTCAATAAATATGAAAAGCTTACTAAATCACCGAAATGATTTATCTTCATGTAGTAGGTATGGAGACCGAGGTCATATTCAAGATTATGCTTACGAATCTTGGCAACATTTGTTTCCCAGATTGTTTGTCTGTAGAAAAGAATCGTATTGAAAATAAAAACAAAAGATATTATTCCTTTACCGGGCAGTTTCTTCTTCAATCGTTGCGTACTCTTTCTTGTGCACACGTTTGAATAACGTCCAAGAGTCGTTCAATTGTCCATCAAAAATTGCTGCGCAATACGCTCCCACAAAAAGTAGGCAAAAAGCAAAGATAATTTTCATTCTTACGTGTTTATGTAATTCTCACTGTTGTCGAAATGTAACTTAAAATGAAACAAGATAATAAATATACTCTTATACGCGACAAAAAAGACTTGTGACTAACCATCACATCTTGCAAAGATAAGATATTTTTGTAATAACATTCAAGAATAAGATAAAAAAGAATGTCGCAGCTTGAATATAATGACAAAGCAACATTGTATTTTATCTTTTTTAAAAAGACTAGAATCTAACAGAAGATAAATAGAATTCTGCATTCTATTGTAAATTCGAATAATCATCTTGACAATGTGATTGTTGTCAGCATTGCACACACTCACCCTCAAGATGGTCCTATACTTACCTCTGGTCTACCCACACCCTCATGTATTATATTATAATTAAATATTGATCTTTTATTTTTGCATAGTTTATTTAATAGGAAACAAAAAAAACTAATAACAATAGAATTTATATTATTGTTCGGTTTTATCCAAAATGATACTCTTCATTAATATTTCATCGAACTATATAGATAATAATACTTGTTGAATATTGATTACCAAGACATTTTTCAATAATATAATCTATTTGTTAAATTGTTAGAAAGAATAATTTATATTAATTAATCATTCGCTTTCTTAGTTCCATTTGTTGATCGGAAGATTCTGAACGAATATTAGTAAAGTGAATATTCTAAAAAAAAAAAAGAAAATAAATTATTTCGAAAGAAGAAAAAATTCAAAAAAACTTACAGCATTTTTTTGAACAAGTTTTAATTGTTTCATTTGATCATTGGTGTAAATACAAATTGCTTTTCCTTGTCTTCCTGCTCTACCAGTTCTACCTGATCGATGAACATATGATTCCCAATCCTATTTCAATTTAAAATTACAATATACAAAAAAAAGCAAATAAAAGACAAACCTGTGGTGGTGAAGTAAGAATAACAAGATCAACTTGTGGAATATCCAGACCACGTGCTGATACATCGGTTGTTATTAATACACGAGTTTGACCTTGACGAAAACTCTTCAAAAAAAAAGATTTTTTTAAAAAAAACAAATCGTCTTTTTTTTTCGATTACTTGTAAAACTTGTTCTCGTTTTCTTTGTGAAAGATTTCCATGAAGAACATCACTTGAAATCGACTCCATTTCATTTGATCTTGCTAATGCATCACATTCATGTTTTGTTTGACAAAAAACAATAGCTTGACTTTGATTGATATCTTTCGAATATTTTTCTAATAAACTTAAAACAATTTTTGGTCGTTGTGAAATATGATTTAATTTTATTGATAAATGTTCAACATTCATCGCTGTTTTTTCTTGTGAATCACCAATTAAATTGATAAATGATTTATTCGTTGGTGACATATAACGTGATACACTTTTTTTTAACCACGATGGTATTGTCGCAGAAAAAACAATCATTTGAGATTTAGGAATACTTTTTATAATAAAATCAACATCATCCTAAAAATAAATCAAATTTATTAATAGAAGAAAAAAAGAAAATAATTTACTTGAAAACCCATATCAAGCATTCGATCAACTTCATCTAAAACAATAATTTCACATTGATGAAGATTTAATTTTTTTTGATTTAAAAAATCTTTTATTCTTCCAGGTGTTCCAATAACAATATCTGAACCACGATTTAATGATAATTCTTGTTTTGAATATTCTTTTCCTCCATAAAGTGTTGATATAGATAATAGACGAGATTTTATTGAAAGAAAATCATTTGTAACTTGTTTGGCAAGTTCGCGAGTGGGTTCTAAAACTAAACAACGAGGAAAACGACCACGTGTATTAGACATTTCTGTTTGGAGACGTTCGATTATCGGAAGACTAAATGCTAAGGTTTTTCCTGTTCCAGTACCTTGAAAAAAATATATTTAGTTTAAATGAAACAAAAAGAAATGAACTTACGTGCTTGAACAATACAATCTTTTCCAGATAGAATATCATTATAAGAACGATATTGTACAGGAAATAAATATTCAACACCACGAACTACAAAAAAAAAATAATTTATTGAGTAAGAAAAAAAAGACAAAACCTTTTAATCGTTGTTGTGTCTGTTCATTTATATTAAAATTATTAAATAAACCCATTTCTTGTTCATTTTCATTTGATTGATCAGAATCATTGAATAATCGAGCAGCATTTACTTGACTTTGATATCGAACATGACAAGTACCTAGAAAAAAAGAAAATAATATTTTTTTTATCAAATAATCTTACTAATATACTTTGAATAAATAATAATTTACTATTTAATCCAATAGTAATATTATTAAATACACGACGAATTGTAAATGAAGAGACAAGCATTATCCTAGATTTTAAAATGAAATGTATTTCTTCGCATTAACTCATATCCATTCATCCATGTTTTATCAATTACAGAAACTAAGAAGTACAAAAAAATCTTATCGATAGATGTCGTTACTTGCCAGTCAATAACTTATGGATATGTCTAGAAAAATTTACTAATGTGGATGAAGCAAATTCAGGTCGACTTTTTGTTATTCAGGTCTCGCTATAACTTTAATCAATCGTGCCATTACTATTAAACTAAATTGGCGGATAGTAGTACTTGGTCTCTTGATCATCTCCTTAACAACTACTCGAGTAATGTTATAAAAAAAAGAACATCGTATGTCTCATTGATAGACCGATGGCGGATTGGTGTGAATGTGAGTGTCCCTTGTTGGTCTAAAGAGAACACCCACATCCACATTTATTTTCTCTTGTTTGATACTCTTTGTTTTTTTGTGAAATAAAAATAAATCTATTTACCGAAAGTTATCGAATTCTGTTGAGTACCGTAAAAACCGATTTTTGGGTTGAATTCAAGTTAGTTAGAGACATGCATCCAACTTTCTTTTGTGTCCGTAAACCTTAATAAAACATTGATTTGAACCTTCAAAATACATCAGTTTGTAGAGAAAATATCAGAGAACAAAACCTTCACCTCAAACAAATTTAATGTAAAAAATGAATTATAAGCAAGACATTTAGTTGACTCCGATACAGGTCTTTAATTGACTTGTATTCAACCTAAAAATCGATTTTGACGGTACTCAACAGAGAATTTTTTTCTCTACAAACCTACTTATCTCTCATTTCTAGGTCAAAGATTTGTAGTCGCCTTTTCATTGTTCTAGATTTTTCAACATATTCGTTTATGACTTCTTCTTTAAATATTAAGTATAAGCGCACTCATAGACAATACGTCGATGTTTATTTGATAAAAACAAAGAACATCGATAGACGAAAATGATATGATACAAACGACCTCTATTAACGATAAGGTGAAGGATTAAATACGTATACATATTCATTGATGCATGACGATCATGTATATGTATTGCTCACTGGACATATTCAGAATAAATAAGTATGACATCCACCGAAGCAGAAAAACTCCCATTTAAAGGCGAAGATATTTCTCCAGATCATGATCAAGGTAAATATTTCTAATAGATAATCATATTTTCAATTTATTTTCTATTTACAGGTCTGTTGAAAGAAATTGTTCGTCAAGGGACTAGTAATGATAAACCATTATATGATGATCAAGTTTTTATTCATTATGTTGGAAGTGAACTTGATGGCAAAGTTTTTGTTAATAGTCGTGAACGTGATGAAAAATACTCATTTAATTTAGGTAAAGGAGAAGTTATTCCAGCATGGGATATTGGTGTCATGACAATGAAACGTGGAGAAGTTGCTCGATTTTCTGCTACACCGAAATATGCTTATGGTAACAAAGGAGAAAAAAAATATCGATCAGCTACAAATGTTATTTTTGAAATTGAATTATTCGATTTTAATGGTAAAATTTATTTTCTTAATAATTTACAAGATTTTTTTTATTTTTTTCATATAGGAAAAGATATAAGTGATGAACAAGATGGAAGTATGATTAAACGAATAATTCAACGAGGTTCAGGACGTTACTTACCAAATGAAGATGCAACGGTTGATATTAAACTCAAAGGAACCTATCAAAACAAAATATTTGATGAACGAACAATTCAATTTATTGTTGGATTACCGTTTCTTCAAAATATTCCTTTAGCGTAAAGAAACAAAAATTAATATAAAAAAAATTTTTTTCTTGATAAATTTTAGTATTGATTATGCTGTTCGTAAAATGTATCTCAATGAACATTGTCAATTAGTTTTAAAAGGAAAAGCACTTGAAGGTTTAGAAAAACTTTCAATTCCAATCAAAGATGATACATCTATTCAATGTGAAATAACTTTAATTAAACTTGAACGAGTAAGAATGAAAATCGAATTAATAAAATTTCTTAATTTTGTTTTTTTTCTATATGTAGTTAGAAGATGAAGGAGCATTAAGTGATAAAGAAAAAGTTGAACAATCCGAATTATTAAAAAGTCGAGCTGATAATCTTGTCAAAGTATTTTAAAAAACATTTTCTTTTTTTAATCTATATATTTATTTTTTGAAGAATAATCATTATCAACATGCTATAACAAGATATCAAATGATTGTTAAACTTCTTACACCAATAAAATTTTCCGATAGAAATGATCGTATTAAATGTCAACAAATGCTAGTAGCTGCACAATCAAATATATCATTATGTTATTTAAAATTAGGTGATCATCTTCAATGTAAACAATATTGTGATAGTACATTAGCTTTGGATGGGAAAAATGAAAAATGTCTTTTTCGTCGTGGTCAAACTCAAATTGCTTTTTCAAATTATGAACTGGCAATTCAAGATTTTCAATCTGTTCTCAAATTAAATCCATCAAATATTGCTGCTAAACAACAAATTGAAGAGTGTCAACGATTAATTAAACAAAATGAAATTAAAAAAAAGGAATCATTTAAATCATTTTTTAGTGATACATCAAGAACAAGTTTATTTGATGTTGATAAAAAAGTTTGTCTTTTTTTTTTGAATCTATGAAAATATTTTTATTTTATTTTTTAGTGTCAAGAAACAAAGGAAAAAATGCAAGAGAAAAATGCATTACGATCTCTTGGTTTAGAACCGATTAGTCTCGAATCTTTGAATATTCGAAGACCAGAACCACAATAATATTCTTCGATGTCTAATCATTATTGACGTTTCTTTTATTCATTCGTTTTAATAATTAAAATAAAAAAACGCAGTTAGAAATAATATATTTATCATTTTCTAAAAGACAAACAATTGCTACATATAGATAGTTCTATATAATTATCGCTTGCTTCGAATAAGTAGAAGGTATTTTGGCTTATTGCCCTTTCGCCAATTGACGAAAATTCATGTGACAAATTAACCTACTATTATCAGAATAAGTCTATTATGATCTAAATCCGTCAATATAGTTACCAGGAGCTACTTTTATACATATGTAATCATATAATGATACTGGTGAAAGTCCATAAGGTATATTGGTGAAAGTGTTAGTAAGAATGCTTTTTTCCGCATAGGTTTAAAAAACACGATTTTCTATCGTTGTACATCTCTTTCTCTATCGGTTCTAGAACACTTCCGATAATCAATAAAATCATATGCTACCGATGAGAGATAAATGATCTTCATAAAACCTTTATATGACAGTCTCAGAAAAATGTTTCGATACGTCTTTCTCGCACCGTTTCAATGATGGAATTCGCAACTCCCCATCGTGTTCATATCGAAATTTATTCAAAAAATATCCATTCACCTTTTCTTTTGAAATGAGCTGTATTTTCTGATGTAGTATATAAATTATTTTTAAATATATATCTTTATTCGGTATAAAAAGTTTTATGTTCTACAACTGTTAAGAAAAAGAGTCAGTTAAGTAATTTCATTATCGTATGTTTTTCCATCGTATCGACGAACAAATTTTTCTGGTATATCAATGTGTTTGCTACGAATATAATCAGCAAATCCTTTTCCGAGATTATCGAGAATAATACTGGAACTAACACCACGTCCAAGGATTCCGTAGACAACATAATGAATAGCATATATATGAGGCATTTCGACTCGTTCAATAAAATATGATTTTTTCCAATCATCTCCAATTAATTCTTGTAATCGTTCTCGAGTAAAATAACTACGAAACCATTCATATTCATCAGCTTCATGAACAAAAAGTCCTAGATTAACATTTCCTCCTTTATCTCCACTACGTCCAAGAATCACAGTATCTACTGGAACTTTTATAGTTGGACCAAATTTACTCAAATCAATTGCATCTTTTGGATCATAATTTTCTCGTGCACCTAAAACTTCAACGACAGAAACATGACCTGCATCAATAATTTGTTCGATTTTGCCAGTATTATCAAGAAGTACAGCTGTTTCTTTTAATTCTGATTGAGCAAGTACACCAGGATAATAACCCAAAAATTGCTTAGGTACCATAGTTCTCATATCATTAGTCCAATGCATACCTGAATAATGTTGCATTAAATATTGTCCAAAAGCTGTAGCAAGACCACCAACAATAGCTTCAGTTTTAGCTTGTGCAAAAATACGCATGTAAGATGTACCATTTTGTTGACTTCTTGGATTATCTTCCGGTTTAGCATAGAATTGAAAATCTAAAATATCAAATTTATCTAATGTACCTGCTTCTTTCAGAGCATGTTGAATTTGACGTTTGTAGAATGCAAATTTTGTATGTGCATTTCTACCTGTAGCATTTACTGTTAATTCACATTGATAACCACCCATATAGAAAATAGCAAGTTTAGTAGTTGGTGGAGGTGGATGTCCTTTTGCACCAGTAACATATACTCGATTTAGATCTTCTTGTGTAATTTTAATATTAGTCAAATCAGCTGTAACATCGCTGTTTACATATATATTTCCTTGAAGTTCGTATAATAATTGACATTTTACAGTATCAACATTAACAATTCCATTAAGAGATTCATGTTTCGTAATAATACAACTTCCATCATGTGCAACTTCTGCAATTGGTAAGCCAACATTAATTAGTTTTTCAATTGGATATCGATCAAAATCACAAAAATTACATCCTGTTATATAACTTGAACATTCAATTAAATGACCAGCAACAAATGCACCAGCTAGAGCATCAAAATTTGTTTCATTCCAATCATGCCACCATGCAGCAAGTCCAATAACTGGAGAAGCATCAGCTACTCGCCCACAAATAATAATATCTGCATTAGCTTTTAACGCAGCTTGAATTCCTCGAGAACCAAGATAAGCATTTGCAGTTACTATCTGTCGATTTGGATCTGTCAGAAATGTGTCAGTATCCTTAACAAATTCAACATTATTATTGTCACCATCTAAATGTTTCAATCCATATTTAGGATCTAGATACTTCTCAACTGAAGATAATACATCATCACCAGTAATATATGCAATTTTAAGATTAAGTTGTTTCTCCATAACAGTAGCAGCAATTTTTTGAGCTAATCCTGATGGATTTAATGCACCACCATTAATAACAACCTTTGTTTAAATGGAAAAAAAACAACGAGTCGTCGAAAAATACAATATCTATATCTACTTTAATATTTTTATTGGCAATTATTTCCAAAGTTTGTAAAAGTCCATCTTCAGCAGTTTTTTCCCAACCAGGATGTTTACCAGCATGATAGGCTGCTGCATTTGCTGCAATAGTCAATTCAGCAAGATAATCTCCTGTAAGTGCATCGATAGGACCACTCACTGCTTGATTGTACATATGATATCCAGGATCAAACATAGCACCGCTAACATTCCCAATTCTAATAGGACGTTTTTGCTGATTCATTGATGTTTCTTCTAATATAATCAATTATAAACTTGATTATCAAATATCTCTCGATCTAGAAAAAAAACTTTAACGTATAAACAGTCATGTAATAAAGTTTATCTCTTATTCCATCGGATCCTACGATTGATTTTGTTGAACGTTTCATCGAAATAAAAATAAAACCTCAGTTGGGGAAATTTTTATCGAAAACTATTCCATACTCTTCGCATTCTGTCTAAAATATTTACACTCAATGACTATTTATATAAATATTAGTATAATTTCAATAAATGTATATATATCGATAAATCTTTTTATTTTAGACACCATTATCAATTGAATGTAGTCACTCTATCCTCTCCTAAATGTATCAGTTTCTACTATACATGCTTGATTGTATAAGATGTCGTTAATCAACATAATTACATTTTATCTCAGTGTATAGGAACAATAAAGGTAAATTACAAACTGTTCCTACTACATATTATTGATGTTCATTGTGATTTTACTCTAATTTGTTGTTGAATTCTTTCTGTTCTCTATCGAAACAACTATAGTCATCTTTTAATTTCTCCTGACGTTCACGAACAGCAAGGAGAATATATTACTATGTACAATGAGATATTTTTTTTACAATAAACTTAGGATTTTCAATTCTACTCAAAACAAAATTATGAAGATCGATTATTAGAGAAAAGATTTAATTCTTTATAAAGCTTTGTTCATACAAAAATATACTTCATTATCCAAAGCGACAAACTTGTTTCAAACAACGTCACATTCTTCGAGTATGTCGATATCATATATAACATATTCTTATATAAGAAAGAGAAGGTGAGAGATCATTGGCATAGTAACGAACAATAGAGGAAAGATAAAAACGATATATTTCGTATCATCAACAAGACGAACATTATCATTTCTTTATTAAATAGTTGTTGAAAACTCTGACAAATTGAAGTCAATTAATATGCTTTTCTTGTTATTTAAAACTTATTCGAATTATTGAGCAATAGAAATTCTTGATTTTTTATTGAATAAAATATTCACGATAAGAATATCGAAAATAAAAGAATGAATATCTAAGTATTTTTATTGATAATTATTTCGATTTATTTAAAATAATGAGAGAAAATGATTGGTTTAGTACCAAATAAGATAGCCTGAAGTAAATCCATCACGAAAATTTGCTTGTCCTATTGGTAATTTACATCGACAAAGTGGACATGAAGCATTTCGATCAAGCCATGATGATACACATTCTTCACAAAAAACATGCTAAGAAAAAAATAAAAACTCAAAAATATATTTCATTACAAAAGAATTTCAAACTTTGCATGTTAATATAATTGGATCTTGATATTCTGATTGACAAATTGGACACATATTCTCTCTCAATTCATTTATTGATGCTGATGGAAATGGTAATGTTTGAAATGCTTCTTTTAATGATCCACGTAATTGTACAAGTGTTTTATAAATATTATAAAGTTTAACAATTGCATAAAATATTAAGAGAAATGTTGCAAATAAATAATTTTCTTGATTTTTTTCCATTATAAAATGCACCCATGGGCGAATTGTTAATACACTTATATAAAATTGTGATAAATGTTCAATTAATGAAAAATATGAACCACGTTTACGATATGTTAAACAATATTTACTTTTATCAGTTTTTATTGGATATAATATTAATAAACTTTTTAGAATCATCACAATCATCCTAAAATATATATTTTATTTAAATATGAGATACAAATTTACGAGCGAACCACTCAAGATATTACAAAAACTTTTGAGTTCAAATTTTGTCCGTAAGTATATAGACTAGAAAAAGTATAAGAGGAGATGGGCGCACGTTTAGGGAACTGCAAAATCACTTTTTTTGGTCACGGTCAACTTTTTCAGTTGGTCCCGGTCTTAATAAAAGCTTAAGAATAATTCTGATGTTGTCTTCATCTATGCAAAAAAAATATGAAGTTCACGAATATTCTCGCTTTTTCGATTGTAAATTCAATCTATACGGTTTTTCTTGACCTATAAAATAACACATTTGCCAATTTTTAATTAAAGAAAAAAAAAAATAAGAAAATGTCTGTTCTCATACTTGATAAAAACATTCAGGAATTATCTGGCAATTTTAGTCTTGGTCCCGGTCCTGGCGAGACTGGGACCACTTTGCAGTTCCCTACGCAAGTTGAGATATCGACATTTCATTAGAATTTTTCAATGGAATCCCATTTTCTCCATAAAATCTTGAGGGTGGGTGTGGGTGGGCGGCAATGGGTGTAGGTGTGGATGGGCGTAGGTGTGGGAATAGGTTGGGCGATGATGAGCACTAATACGCACACCCTTGGAAGCATTTTAGATGAGCTACTCTGGTTAAGATCTTGATATAGCCAAAGTTTCACATCGAAACTTTGATTTTACGGAGAAAATGAAGTTTCATAAGAAAATTCTAATAAAAAGTCGATATCTCAATTTGCACTCATCTCTTGTTAGACTTTTTCTAGTGTATATACTCCCTACTGATGGACACAATTTGAGCTCAGAAGTCTTTTTAACACTTCGGATGGTTCCCTCGTTCATATTTGTAATTGATTTCGTGTTTATGAATAACTTACTTAACAATACAAAATGTTGAATAAAGTATCCAAAGAAGAGTCCATAAATCCCATTTTGCATAATTAGGACGAGCAAATATAAGACATAAATAAAATTTTTCTTGACGAAATAAATACAAAAAAAGTATTAAAGAAAGACTAAGAATTGTTATCACTCTAATAACTGGCCATAAATTGCGAGATGACTAAAAAAAAGAACAAAAATAATTCGAATTATTTATTATCTTTTTTTTTTGTTTATTTACTTTTAAAGCTGCTTGTTGAACCAGAACTGTATTTGCATGATAAATACTTGCCGAAAAGAATATTACCATAAATATACCTTTAAATAAATTTGTTACGAGATTAATCATATATTTAAAAAAAAATGTTTTCTTACCAGCTGAATGTTCATAAAATGCTTTAAGTATCAGAATAAGTGCAAAAGGAAATGTTGATGTTAAATTCTCTTTTAATATAGTAATTAATTGATGAAGATGATCATTATTAATTTCATTTGTTACTGGCGTTGGTCGTGTTGTTGGTTGTTGTGTTTGATTAACAATTTCTTCTCCAATTGTTTCAATATCTTCGATATTATTCTGTGGATTTAAATCAATACGATATTCGGTATTCGTCATGGAATTATTTAATCGACGAGTATTCATTCTCGTCTTTTTATATCATTTTGAAATAAATAATTTAAATCTAAAATAAAAACAAAGAACGAGAAAAAAACTGAAAAACTTTTCTTTTTTATTTATCCGAATATAATCTTTCAATAGCAATTGATCCTTGAGATATTTCAATCCAATCAAGATCAGTACGAGAAGGAAATGTTGTTTTTAATTGTCCTTTATCATCTACAACTTTTGTTTGTTGTAATGTTAGAATTTGTCGAATATTTGATTCATTCGATTTTTTTCCTAAATCATTTTGAATCATTTGTCGTAAAAGTGCATCCATAACACGACGACAAATATCCATTGATTGTCCAGATGTTATTTCAATAAATATTGAATCAGTTGTTGAACTTAATTTACTACGTTCAGCATTTGTTAATGGTGGAAGTGATATAACATATCGTTCTTGATCAGATAAACAAGGAAAATTTGTTTGATCTTGTAATAAAGTTAAATATCTTTAAGAAATAATATATATATTCTATGAAGAGATGATGATAATAATAGATAACTAACTTATTAAGACCTGATAATTGATTTCGTTTTTTTAATTTTCTTTCATGTTCAGCATCACGACATAATTGATCATAAAAATCTCGTGCTGATACTAATTTTGGACCTTTACCAAGTGGAACAAGACCAATTTCATCAGGATCACGTGCATCATAAACTAAATGTCCTGATATTAATGATAAATCATGTGTACCTATTGTTGCTAATGTTCGTTTTTGACAAATATCATCATGAAGTTCATTCTTAAGAAAAAATAAACATTTCAAATTCAATTCTTAAATCATTTAAAACTTAATTTTTTTTGTTATACTCTATAAATTCATACATTTTTCGATACGAACGGTTTATGATTGAGTTTCCGAGAAAATATTAAGTTTCATAAGTATTGTTATTTTCTCTATTAAATTCTAAAGGAGTGCTGCATCGACAAAAAAATTTATCGAATGCATTTTTGATCCTCTCACTTAAATATTGTTTTTCAAAAGATAGCCCCTACAAAATCAGACTTTGAAATATCCCTTCTTAAAAATAATAATTTTTATAAAACGAAATTATTTCTTTTCAACTAACGGAACACACTTGAGATCTCGAGGGTGGCTATAGGCAGGGGCGCAACAAGAGTTTTTATTTCAATTCATTATGAAAAAAATTTTGTGGGTTAAAAAAACAAAAACTTCTCCAAAGCAGGGGGACATTACGTCCCACGCGCCCTCTAGTCAGTACACTCGTGGGTGTGAGTGTTGATCTGATTCTCATGTATACTAATACCCACACCCGCAATCATCTATGGTTTAATGAACAGCCGGTAGTATTCCGCAATGTAACAAATTCTTGAGAATGATTATTATCTCACCAAAAGCTGTTTGTAATCTGAGACAGTTGATTAACTTTTCAATTAACCTGTATTCATGTTCTTACAGAAATCATATATTTTATATGTAAATAAATTATTAACAAGAGTAAATACTTTCTTGAAGTCCCGCTGTTTTCCCCTAGAGACAACATATGAACTCTGAATTCTAACCGATCGATACTCGTGCAATACAAATTAAGTTTATAATAATAACCTGTAAGTTTAAAAATTTCTTTAAATTTCCTGTTGTTGCTAAATCAACATTTCTGACAATACAACATAATAAATGTGGACGAACATTAATAACTTTTGGTAAAATCGTAACTAAAATATTAAAATTACAATATCAAAAAACAAAGAAAAAGATTCTCATACTTTGTCTTCCTTTTAAATCACCTTCTTGATCAAAATGTAAGACTTCAATTTTATTTTGAACTTGTTCAGTTGCCTCCGCTTGTTGTTGTTGTTGTTGCGGTTGTTTTTTCTGTGCTGGTTTCGATGTTGTTGATTTTTGTTGTTCATTCCATTGTTTAGCTAAATATTCTAGAACCGGTTTAAGTTTATCTTGCTCCATTAATTTTTTTAAACGATTATCTTTTAATGGATTTGATTTAAATCGAAGTTCTTAAGAAAAAAAAAGAAAAATATTAATTTATCTTAAGTGCAAAATAAAAACCTTTTAATTTATGTAATTGACTTAGTTGAGCTGGAATTTCAACTAATTGATTTGAATCAATAATAATCGTTTTCAATGAATTTAATTGTAACAATGTAGTTGGAAAATCTTGAAATTGATTTGATGATAAATCAACATGAGAAAGATTGTCTAATTCAACTGGAAAATCAGGAAGATCAACCAATTGGTTATGCGATAAATTTAATATTGCTAATTTTTTATTTTCAGTTGAAAATTTTGGAAAACTTTCTAATAAATTATGACTTAAGTTCAATGTTTCCAGATGACTTAATTTTAAAAACAGATCTTCATCTAATGATTTCAATTGATTATTTGATAAATTAACATGACGAAGATTTTCAAGATTTTTTATTTCACTTGGAAGTTTACTTAATTTTGTTGATATTAATGTTAATGTTGATAGATGAACTAATTTTCCAATATCATTCGATATTTCTTCAACTGATGGACAAAAACTTATTTCAAGAAAATTCAATCGCTTTAATTTCCAAATTGTTTCATCTAATTCATTTTTTTCTTCTAAATATTTTGTTAATTTATCACCTGATAAAACTAATTCATAACGATGTTGTGTTAACGCTTGTTCAACTTCGGGCCAAACCATTTTTCGAAATTTTATTTTTCTATAGATTTATATGTTAATGAATGAAATAATAAATAAATAAAAAAAATCTTTCCAATTACTATGATTCATTTATTTATTTTTCTTTTCTTTAATTTGAACTTTTTTTTTATTTTAAAATATTATTTTTTATGAAAATAAAATAAATATTATTTTGAAGAATTTATTTTTCTTATCGTTTAAATATAGATGTCGGTCATAGTTTATTCTTTATCCTCAGTTATTCAATGACATCTGTAGATAGAAAGAGAAGCTTAATGATTTTTTTTTTGCTTCCAGATTTCTTTTTTCCTTCTAATTACAAGAAATATCTCTATTTTATATATAAAATGGGTAAGTTCTTTGCGATAGAACAAAGAAAGATTAGTATTACAAGATTTATTTACAAGATGAAAATCTTTAATATGACAGGAGGAAATCACCTTTATAACATAGTCAGTTCTCGAGGTTAATCATAGGAAAATAAAGTGCATTTATCACTGTTGGCATCCTCTTATTTTTTCAAGGCGGATAATTAAGAGAAATGAGAGAAGGAAGAAAGGTTCTTTTCTGATGAAAAATATTTGTCACAGTACTTGTCTATTTCTTGAGATGACAAGTGTCAAACTTAACAAGTTAGATTAATTGCATTCCTGAAGACGTCAACAACCGATACAGATAATAAATAAAGAAAAATATCAGGTAATCTTGTCATTGATGAAAAACAAAATTTTTTTTTCTTGAATATAATGAAACCTGATCTGTTTTATACTTAACGTAGGGGTAAGTAATTTCATAGTTTAATTAGATTTTGTTAAGTAAACCAAAAAAAAAAGTACTAAGAAGATTAAAGTAATCAATTTGTTGCTACATTAAACTCTTTTTTTTTTAAGTATAAACAAAAAACTTAGAATAAGTATTCAACATATTTGAGTGCCGTCAGTCAAAAACGGATATGTCTTTTTTTCTCGGAGTACATTAGTTTTGATTTTCTAATCAAGTTCTTTTTTTTGTCCGTAGGAAAATATTTCTATTTATGATTGATTAAATCTTTTATTGTTTTTTTTTATTTTGAATCAAATAGAAAATGAGATGATAATGTATCCTCTACCAGTTGGCATTTTAAATTTCACGATGATGGATTCATCGAACTCTTCATCAATCATATTTTCTTGTTTTATTGGTATTGGTCTTAGTTTGATTGCTTTAATAACTGCATTTGGAAATATTATTGTACTTCTTGCATTTTATTGTGACAAAAAATTACGTACAGTTAATGGTAAATTAAATAAAAAATAATTTTTTTGTATCAATTTTTTTTTCTTATTTTTAAAGATTATTTTATATTAAATATGGCTATTGCTGATTTTCTTGTTGGATTTTTCTGTATTCCATTTTATATTCCATTTAGGTAAGTTCGATTTGATTAATTTCTTGATTATTTATATTTTATATTTAGTTTAACACGATTTTGGCCATTTGGAGAACTATTTTGTAAAATTTGGGTAATTTTTATTTGATTAAAAAAAATAAATAATTATTTATATCGAAAAAAAAATAGGTCACAATTGATGATGTTGCAACAATGGCAAGTGTTATTAATATTGTAGCAATAAGTATTAACCGATATTGGTCAATTGCTTATCCATTAACATATAGAAAATATATCAACCAAAATTTAGTTTATCTAGTTATGATTGGTGTCTGGTGTCTTTCTTTTAGTAAGTTATTTAATAAGAAGATTAATGAGTAAAATTATTCCTAACAAAAAACATTATTTTTAGTCAACTTTGCTCCGGGCATATGGTTAATGAGTTTATTTGATAAAGGAATAAATGTAACAAATATAACTCGTAGTGATTGTGAAGGTGATTATAATAATTCATTTGTCTATATGTTAATAGCTCAATTTAATTATTTTATTTGGCCATTTATTTTTCTATGTGTTTTTAATATATTAATTATGTTAAATATATGGAAACGAAGTCGAAAAATGAGTCGTCTTATAGCATGTAATCAATATACAAAAGGAAAAGATAAAAATATTGGTTCATCTTTATTAGGAACAAGTAATTTAGAAGATGATCAACATTTATCAACATTATCTAAATACCACATACATTCTTCTGAACGTTATTCATCAATGATATTTAAAGACAATGAAAATATTGTTCCAACATCATCATCAAATAAAAGTTTTCAATATTTATGTACTCAATCAAATAATAAATCATCAAATATTTCTCAACATTCAGTTACAACTACTCGAGAAAAATCTTCAAATTTGTAATATTAATTAATTTTATTTTTTTGTTATATTTCAAACAAATTTCTTCTTTTAGAATCGATTCTTCAAGAAATCGTTCTGTATATATAAATGAATTGACTGACAATGGTCTATCATCACCAATCATAGAATCAAATCGAAAATCTATTAATGTAAATTTTTCTTCATCACGTCATTGTCGTAATGATTCATATATTGAATATCAAATTGAAAATGAAGTTAATATATCAAGATCAAATTTAACGGATATTAGTTCATCAAATCGTTCACAACCGAAATCTCGTGATTATTGTCCTAAACGATCAAGAATTGCTCGTGATAGAAAAGCTGCACGATCATTATTTGTTCTTGTTATTGTTTTTCTTATATTTCTATTTCCATATGTTATTTGTGCAACAGCATCAACAGCTGGTTTAAATATTTCGAAAAATATATCTGAAATATCATTTTGGCTTTTATGGATGAATTCAACATTTAATCCACTTCTTTATCCATTTATACAAATTAAATATCGACGAGCTTATATACAATTATATCAATCTTGTTTACAATGTTTTTCTTCGTCAAGATCAAATCGTTCGTTATAATTCTTCATTTTATTTTTAAATAAAAAAATCAGAAAAATAAATAAATAAATAATATTGATCATCAGATTACAGAATTATTAATGGATATAGGATGTTCGATGATCTTTAAAGAAGGAAATGACATATGACAAACATATGGATAAATAAATAAATATAATATTGATACATTCATAATGAAGAGATTGACACATGATTATTTAATCATTGACACACATCTAATAATGTAACTCATTGAAATAAAATGAAAATCTCTTATAAGATTAACATTATGAGGAGAAAATTTTAAAATTTACAATTCAGGTATTATTATTATTTTTAATATTAGTAATATCTAGACTTAAACAATGTTTATTTTTCTTGTGGATTTATATATCATCGTTGAAAAACAATGAAACTCGATACATATATTTTAATATCGACTAGGGATTCGTTTGGTGGAAAGATATAGAAGGAATTTTTTTTATAAGAGTTGACCGAATGGTAATCAGGGTCGAGAAACTCAAATCTAATCTTACTGTTTTTACAAAAAACATCTTTTTTGTAACGGTTGACCGAAGAATTCAAATCTGACTTCTGTTTTGTTTAATTATATAAATCAATAGCTTGATAGTTGTTTAGTAATGCGATTTCTACGAGAAAGAGCTGAGCGTTACTTGTTAATTAAATATTTTATATTAAAATATATGAAGTTAATAAAAATGATAGCGATAGTCGAGTATATATATATTCCATACTAATATGGAGTTTTATCAAAGTCAAAGGGTAAAATGTTGATAGTTGACAGCTAAATGTCAATTATTTTGTATCATCAATGTATGTATACAAAAATAATTGGAGCTTTCAACAGTATAAACTAGAAAAGATAGGAAATATATCATTACATGTTGTTTTCGTAATATTTTTTCTTTTATTATGATGTGTCTTTTCTTTACAAATTTTACACGAATATTGTAGATTTATCAAAAATTAATGTTTTTCTTATTTATGGATCTACTTGCGATGTAATCCTTTTGAGAAAAATATGTCAATGCATGTCAATTAACTGAAATAGATAATACTTATTATATGTAGAGTACTTTCATAGATCTTCTTTATTCTATCCAATGATCAATTATTAAAATATTCCTTTAAAACTAAATGAATGAAGCCTACGTTGATAATCAATTAATAATAGACATCCAGTCATTTGTTTTCTACGTGACTTTATTTCTAATTTACTTAGGATTATCCATAAGTAGCGACGGAAGTGCATTTCTTTTCCTATGAAAAGCGCATATGAATAGCTAGAGTGTCTTTTAATACTATTTCATCTAACAAATAACGCTCTTTCTCATAGAAGCGATATGTCTTCGCTACCAGTAAACTAGTTATTCAAACAATTTCAAAAACTGACTTCAAATTGGAATTCTACAATCTTAATAACCGTTCGGTCAACCCTCATAAAAAAAATTTCTAAAAACTAACATCAGATTCGAAGTCTCTGTATTGAAATACTTCTAGAAATGTGTTTTCGGGAAAATCGGTGTTCGATGTTTTTTTGACCTTGCGGACATACAATCAATCAGACAATTTATTGTTTACTGAACTCTTCTCTACGAGAAAGAGAAAAGAGTGAAAAACGTTCTATCTATTCTTAAATAAATATATATCCTTATAAAACACGATTTTATTTATTATAAATTTATTCAAAACCTAACATAGGTTCATCTCTGTGTATGTCTTTTTCTGAAGGTGTATTTGATCGATGAGATGATTGTGATAATTGTGATACGGGAGACATTTCTCGAAATGAATTTAGTTCACTTTTATTTAATAGTGGTTTTTCTTGTTCTTGACGAATAACTGTTGGAAATGGAAGTCTTTCAATGTCTTCATTATCTAAAAAATATAAAATATTTTTTTTATATTAGAGAGAAAAAAACAAAATTTACCATTTTGAAAAACAATATATGTCATAGGATCAAATACTTCGTTAGTTATTAAATAAAATAATGGAGCATCAAGACGTGATGATGATGTTCCATAAACAGGACATCCATATCCATCGATTTTCGAATCTGTAGCGAATATTTCTATTGATGGACAAGTATTTGTTGTTCCACTAAAAAAATTAATTTAAAAAAAAGAAAAATTTTTTTTCTCGTAAAAAACCTGATGGATTTAATTCGATTATTATTTTCAACAATTCCATTCACAATTGTTAAACCATTTAAAATTAAATGACGATTTTGTGATGTATATTTTTTATCTTTTGCTAAAGCAAATTGACCAACACATCGAATCTAAATAAATTCAAATTTAAAATAAAAACAAAACAAAAAAAACGAATCAACTTTGTCTTGTGTAACGTTAAGTTTTAATGCTTCTGAAAGACACATTAATTGAATTAAATTATCAGAACGATGTATACAATGTGAATCAATTTTTTCAATATCTTTCAAACCATTCATCCAAGAATAATATTCATTAAAACGATGACGACATTCTACATAAAAACAAAAAAACACACATAGATTTTACTCTATATTAAATAAAAGAAAAACGAACGATGAATAAATTGAATAATTGAAATAGATTTTGGTGCAAATGATTTATTTGAAAACCATATTGATGGAACTTTATTTCGTTGAAGATGCAATCCAATTGTTTTAAATTTCGAATTATTTTCTAATAATAAATTTCCATATGATAACATATCTTCCATTTCATTTATATCTTTTGTTATACATTCCATTTGTTTATTAAAATAAATCATTTCCTAAATATTTTTATATTCAAAATTTTTTTCACGTTTTAGTTTTAATGAGGGAAAAGTATCTCTTCTTCAACTGTTATTTTGAGATGACGGAGTGCATTATATTGATTTGCATTTTCTAATTTACTTGTCGTTAAGAAGTGCGTGAATCTCGTGAAAAAAAAACAATTTTATTCTATTAGCTCTTTAGAATATGATAGACACTCAAATAAACACATAGTTAGCTAAACGATACTTTCAACAACAAGTAGATTGGAAGTACGGCTCTTCTCTCTCTCTCTCTCTCTCTCTCAAGTTTGAGTCTCGATTGAATGTTCTGACGTGTACTATAGTGAGGCATTGACTATCTAGGTGTGTAAAAATGATTTTTTTTATTGAAAAGTTTAGAATATTGTTAACCGTTCATCTTTCATGTGACAAAATTAAGAGCAAAATTTATATTCGAATCAGATATAGTCAAACAACTATAAGGATTGATCTACCCCTCGATCCTAATAGGTTCGCGACCGCACTAATTGAAAGAGGTTAACTATTAGCATAAACCGGTCAATCTCCGATTTTTGTAAATTTATTTCAAAACAATAGTTGACGAATAAATTGAATTAATCAATAACAATATTTTTCTTCATGTTTATTTTTTCGAAATTTTTCTATTGACGTCAAAGATAATATTTCTAAACTTGATCAATAAGAAAAAGAAAAAGCTCTAGTAATGTCACGTGATTAATGAATGAATTTCTCAAGTGATGATGACATCCTATACTTTGATAGATTATATATTTTCTGTGATATGTATACAAGTAAAGCTCGCACGGAAACTCGTTCAGCTCTTTCTCATAGAAATGGTGTTCTACAATGCTACGGGACCTTTTGCTTATATAACTTGCAAACACTAACATCGGATTCGTGTTCCCCGACCTCAAAAACCATTTTGTCAAATTTTATGTAAGAATAATTTTTTTGCAAAAAAATAGTCCTTTGTCTAAAAAAAATGAACATCAGATTCGAAGTCCCTGCATAGAAATACCTCTGAAAATGTCTTTTCCAGAAGATCGATTTTCAATGTTTTTTTGACCCTTTGGACATACAAGTAATTAAGCAAACAATTTATCTCTGCTAGACTCTTCTCTACGAGAAAAAGAATATTCAATTTTTCCTTCTATCACTCTATATAATGAGAAAATCAAATATATACCTGATAAAGAGCAATACTAATAAGATCTTGTTTAAAATCTTTAATTGATGGTAAATTTAAAATAGGTGGTAAACGTTCTTTTAATAAATGAATATTATCATGAATTAATGAAATATTTAATTTTTGAAAAATATTTTCGGATTTATCATGCCATAATTTATTTAATTGTTCGGTAAAAAGATAAAATTGATGTTGAAGAGTTTTTTGTTTTGATGGATAATCATTAAAATGAAAATTTATTTTTCCATGTTTGGATAAAAACCATTGAAGATTATATTGACTTGAATTTTGTGGAATTTCAAATTGAAATTCATTTAATTTAAGTGAGGTTTTTGATGAAATTTGTTGAAATAATTCATTTAATAATTTTGTTACCAATGGTGAATCTGTTGGAAATGTCATTTCAATTAAATTTTTCATTAGATTTTGATCTTTATTAGTTCTAATTATATTTAAAACAAATTGTGGAAAATTTCTTGTCCATTGAAGTGTAAAAGTACTTTGTTCAAATATTTGTTGATAATAAACAAGTATTGATTGAATTAATATTGAACCATAGACAATTGTAAGTTCATCACCTTGACATTGATTCAGTACAGATGAACTATTAGAAATTAATTGACCAATTATTTCTCGAATATAATTATTTGAATTTTTATATAATAAATTTGATAAAGAATCTTTTCCTTCAAGTAAACAATCATAATGATGAAGACGAGCACCAAGATAAATTAAATCGACAGATGCATCTTTTGTTATGACAACGTCATGTTGACCTTTAGCTTAAATAAATAAATAATTAAATAGATATAAATTTATTTTAATTCAAATAACTTACAACGAATTTGTTTAATAAGAGTAGAAAAAGATGATTGATGAACATTTTTTAAATATACGATATCATTATCGGTTAGATCATAAACTATATTTGTAAATTGACAATCAATTTGATTTATTTTTTTTCCTTTAGTTTTTAAAATATCTTCAAGATAAACATGAAAATCAAAGTTATTTATTAAAAATTCTCCTGGTATTCTTGATTTAACTGGAATATTTGGTAATGTAATAATATTAACACCTTGAAAATCAAAATCAGTTATTTGAATTGTATTTAAATCAAATTGATCAACCACATATTGAGCTAATGCATAAATAAAATGTTCTGGACATAAAAGACGAATAATAAGTAGTTTTTCAATTTGAGAAAATTGTTGATTATTTAAATTAGGAAATGAATTTAATTGAGGATTATCATACCAAGTTTTCCATTGTTGATCATTTTTTAAAATTGATTCGGATAGATGATGTAATTGATCATCTTGACTAAATAAATTTGATAATGAAACAATATCAAACCAAATAAGATCTGATTGAATCCAAATTGGTTTCTTTGTTAATGTTGATGGATAGGATAAAGATTGAATATCAACTCTTGGTAAACCAGTTGCTAATAATTCTAATTGAAGTATTTCACTTTTTCCATCACTACTTTCAACTGCTGTTTTTAATAATAATTGAAGAAGAATTAAAAATTCTAAACGATCATCAATTGATAATTGACTAAAAACAAAAAAAAAGATGGATTAAGAGTTTTTTCTTTTCTACGTACGGTAAGATTATTTTAATAAATGATTGAATTATTTTCTTTAAATTGTCATCTATTTGTTTTTGATCAGGTGTAGCTAATTCCTCTTTCTTTAATTCATTAGTTTCAATTAATGATGGAAGTTGTGGGTATTCTTTAAGAACAAAAAAAAAGGAAATGTTTTTTATTCACAATAAATTTAACATACTTGTATCTTCAACATCTTTCCAAAGATTTTTATCTTCAGGAGGTTTTTTCTCATTTAATGGAATAAATTGATCAAATAATGAATAAATAATATCAATAGAGAAATGATAAGTTTTAGGAGCAAGAAGATTTATTCGTTGAAGAACTGAATAAAGTAAAGCACCATGTTGTGCATAAGGAAAATAATAATCATGATAAGATTCAATTGTATCTAGAATTTCATTAGCTTGATCAACTATTCCACCTAATAAATATTTTCTTTCCAATGCAACAGATGTTAAAATTACTCGATCACCTTCGAATTCATCACTAAAATAGAAAACATATTTTTATTCATCAATCAATACTTAATTTGTAAACAAACCTGACTGCATTTGATTTAAGAAATGAATCAATTGCTTCAATTCTTAGTTGACATAAAAGTATTAAACGAAAAATTGATAATTTTTTGTAATATAAATTTGGTTGAATACGTTGAAAAATTTGTTGTCGTAAATCATCTAATAATGTTTCAACACTATATTGACAATTAATAGATGTTGTTAATAATGATAATGATGATGAAACTTTATCAAGTGAATCACAAGTTGTATGAAAATAAAAACGAAATGATGGATTACAATATAAACGACGACCACAATAAATTATTAAATTTGAATCTAAATAAATATTTTAAATTTAAATAAGAAGCGAACAAGAAAGTTGATATACCATCATTAGAATTTGATTCGTGTGATGTTGCTTTCCATTGTGCTAATGGATATAGAAGACTATCTAATGTATTACAATTTTTTATATAAATTTTTGAACCAGATAAAAATGATTGTTCAATTGACATTACAACATCATGTTTTGATCTTTAAAATAAAAAAAATATTTTTAATATTTATTGTAAACTGACTAGTTAGTATGAGAATGAAACATACTGATCATCAAAATGAATTTTTTGAAGATTATAATATTTTTCCATCCATTGATCATATTGTCCAAATGGATCAATAAGAAGTGGAGGATATTCAATTGATTTAATAATTATTGTATGATTTTCCATTTCTGATGGTAAAACTCCGTCACTTAACCATTCATAATATATTTGATCACCTAATAAAAATTTCATTAAAGAAAATAACATTTGATGATATTCAGGTCCACTAAAGGATTTTTGTTCGTCAATTATCTAAAAAGAAAATTTCTTTCGAGTTTTTGAAATGAAAATAAAAATTTTATTTACTTGTAGTAAATTCTCTTTAACAGGATCTAATTGCCAATTTATGATTCGACCTTTAATACTTGATATTTGATCAAAAACAATAGTCATTCCTCTATCTCGAATACATTTAATCCAATGAACAGTCAACATAAGACGTCGAAATCCATATGTGAATGCACCAAGATAAGTTAAAAATGCTGATGCAATTGCACATGTACCATTTAATGTTGATTGACGTTCTACACTTGTTTCAAATATTTTACTTGTTCGTTCTAATTCACGAGATAAAATCTAGAGAAATAAATACTTTAATTTATTTCGATTTCATAGAAAAATTTTCAACAAACTTGATTTAATTCAGATGCAGTTTTTAATTGATTTTCTTTCATTGCAACTGTTTCTTCTTGATCTTTTTTATCAACTGTTGCTTCTTCAAAATTTTGTGAAAGATCTTTCAAACGAGCTTCTAATGCCTAATCATACATATTTCATTTTAATATAAAAATCTTAAGAAACAATAAGAAACTAACTTGACTTTTATTATCTAATAAAATTAATTTTTGATCTTGTTCTAATACATCGTCTTCAATTTCTTTATATTTCTGATGTATTGGTCGAACTTTTTTAAGTAAAACTGTATGATATCTATACAAAATAATAAAATAATAATAATAATTATTATTTTTTTCCAAATAACTAACTGTAAAACTCGTTTAACCCATTTATAAAGTGTTAAAATAGCATTATAATAAGATGTTTGATTAAGTGATGAATTTTCAAGTTGAACATTATCAATAATTCCACTAATTAACTTAATATGTTCTTCTGTTAAATTAATTTTATCAAATAATTGAGTTTCTTCAATAAATCTATCAAGATTAGCTAACTGTCTTTTCGCACCTTTTTGCCATGTTATATCAGCTGTTGGAGATTTTACTATTTCAATATAAAAATTTACAAAAATAGAAGAAATCAAAAAGAACATTCTAAACTTACAAATCATAATAATAGCAGCTAATGTATCTTCAACTGGTTTTTCTGCTTTAGTAACTAATCTTAATTCTTGTAATGATTTCATATCAAGTTGTTCAATTAATTTTCTTGCATCAGTTGCAATAGCTAAACATTTATAAAGATTTTTTTCTTGTGTTAATTCATATTCAGGTAGTAATCGTTTTAATTGAACTGTTCGTCGTGTTTGAGATTTATGAGCACGAATTTGTTGTTCAGCTGTAACCATATCTTGACCTATTTGAACTAACATACGTACAGTGCTCTAAAAAAACTTGGGATTTTATATCGAAATATTAATAAAAAGAATTTATACTTTCAGTCTTTCTTCAAGCACAGTTTTTTCTTGCTGTAATTCTTTTTCTAATTTAATTGATGTTTCATGTTGATATTGAATTTGTTCAAGAAGACGTTGAACATCACAATGATTTTCATGAACACTTGATGATTTTTCATTGATTAGCTTTACAAATCTAAATGAAAAAAAATTCTTTTTTCGAACTCGAATAAATGTACTTCATTTTCAATTACTTTTCAACAAATTTTGTAAATGTATGATTATTAATATGTGGTAATTTCTGTGTATTATTTTCATTTGCTCGTCGAATTGAAAGATGCATTGATGCAAGAAGATGAGCTGTATTTTCACGTGTATTTTTATCTAACCATTGAACATCTTTTTTTTAAAATAAAATAAAAAAATATTTTTCATATATAATTAAAACAAAAATTGATTATTAAACCTTTTAAATGATAAAGACTATTTTGTACAAGTGTTTTAGTATTCCAATGTTGCCAATAAATTAATGATATATTATTAAATATTGATGGATAATCAAGACATAATTTATTATTAATTTCATTTATTAAAATAACAACACGAATATTTTCTTTAACATTTCTATAAATATAAAAATTATTTTGTTAAGTTTTAATTAAATATATAAAGCTATAAGAAGTGCAAGAAAAAAAACCAAACTAGCAAATTCAAGCAGATGAAACATACCTTACAATCCTGAAATGGTTTTTTAGCGATTGGGAAACAATTAATATGATAATGAGAGAAAAAGAAAAGAAAACATACCTAAGAAAAAATTCCCAAGCAACAGGTTTTGTATATGTTAAACCTGCTTGTTGTACTTGTGTACGAACAGAATTTATAACTGTTGTTTCTTCTTGTAAGGAAAATAAACTTGATATATCTTCTGCATTAATTAAATTTGTTATATTAATTATTAATTCAAGATATTGAAATTCTTCTTCGGTTATTAATAAAACAATTTTTTCATTCTAATAAAAAAAATAATAAATATTTTCAGTTTTACTCATGTTAACCATTCTGGCTGTCAAGAACGGCGTCTTAAACGGTGTGAAACGACTATAAAACAGTGTTTTACT